CTTCCGCCGCCTCGCTGCCCTCGTCGTAGCACACCTCGAGGGAGCAGGGCCGCGGGAGGCCCTGCTCCCCGGGGTCGAAGTCGGCCTGGTGGTCCTCGGAGGGGTCGAGCGTCGAGGATCAAACCTCGAGGTGCTGCAGTTCGCTCCCGGACGTGCTCGCGTCGCGAAGAAATCGGGAGCGGGGGTTGTTGGCCGTTTTCGGCCACTGGGGGTCCTTACCAGGCCTCGGCACCGTCAAAAAACGGCTCAGGATAAAAAGCTGGTCCACGGGAGCGGCTCGGCATTTCCGGGGGCCCTGGACTGAAAAATCATCACGCCAGAGAAAAAACCCTATCAGTGGATGGTTTGAAAATTCGTAATAAGGATATTGTGGTCGATTGCAAGATCGATATCTATGGTGGGATCGGTACGGAGGATATAGCAAGGTCAATCGTGAGACCGATAATGAGATCGATGGTGGGATCGACACTGAAGACGATAATGGAGTCGATTCCGTGAGACCGATCGTGGAGTCGATCCCGTGAGACCGATAATGGAGATCGATTGTGGGATCGACCGCGAGACCGATAGTGGAGTCGATTCCGTGAGACCGATACTGAAATCGATCGTGAGATCGCACGTCCGATCTATCGGAATATCGCTTGTGTGATCGATAACACTAATGAGATGGATTGAGGGATGGGTAAGAACATCGATGGGGTGGGACCGATCGATACTGAGATCGGCCAGGGACCCGGGAACCCGCAAACCCGGGAACCCCGTCGCCCACCGAGATCGGCCCGAACCGACAACTGGGAACCCAGGAATAAAGGGGCCCTGGGACACACACAAATAAATACACACAAACTTAAATATCCTCCATATTTTCCTATATGTTCTGGGCTTTTGTCTTCCCCCCCACTTCCCATGTTTTCCCACTTTTTCTGGAACATCGAAGATTAATTGTGTCTGTGTGTTTTTATCCTCTCGTGAAGGAGCTGGGAACCGATCGCCCAGGAACCCAGCGGCCCACCGAAATCGGCCGCCCATGCTCGCCAAATCCTTCAAGATCCGCGAGGACGCCTTCAGTGCAGGCACGGACTGGGGAATGGCATCGCGCGTTTGGCCTTGCGACGTCGGATCTCAGGGCCCCTCGTCGCCGACATCCTGGCCACAACGCACCCTTGGAGAGTTCCAAACACGTCTGGGTGTCGAGAATAGATGGTTGACAAAAGTGAGAAGGAAGACGCATGAAGGAACAAGCATGACGGAAAGAGGGGGGGAGGACGGTAAGGAGGAAATGTTGATGGGGGAGGGGCGGGAGGATCAGTCCGTCATCCTCCCTGCACGTCCCCTCCTCCCTTACTGCCGCAGCGCCGTCGAACGTCACCCACTGGGCGCGCTCCGCGCCGGACGCGCGCGGGCGCGGCCAGGGCCAGGGCGGCCTGCCCTCCCTGGGAGGGGGGAAGGAGGGGTAGGCCACCAACGCTCCCGAATACCTCCTGAACGCAAGAAGGGGAAGGGTGAGGAGGAGCGGCTGGGCCGCTCATGGGATGCGGAGGTGCTGCGCTAAATTCAAAAAGACGTAGTATGTTGCATGTAGCGATGTGCTCGTATACCCTTGTCCGTAATGCTGTAACTCGTATTATGATCTGGCTTCTGGCAGGCAGGCCTCGCCTTGTCGGTAAAATGATAGAATACTCGGCTGGTTAACCATAGTTTGCAGCTTCTGGCAAGCTGATCTCAACGAAACTATTGCTGTCTACGGAGCGCTGCGCGCCAGAGCCGGCACGTATTGCCATCCAGCTTGCGGACTGTGGCGAACGTCTCGTCCAGTTTCTCCACGGCGCAGTAGTGGCACGTCTTGCCGAACCTGCCGTGCTGCGTCACCGATGGCAGTGCTTCCTGGCAGTACAGGTCATCCATGGGCCTCGGTGTTCGTCGCGTGGACCTGGTAATACAAAGACCGGCGTTGGTAGCTCTGCTGGAGGTCCCCGTAGCCCTGGAGGTGGCTCGGGCAGCTCAGCGCGTGGGGTTCGTAACTCCGCTGGCGGCCCTGGTAGCTCTACTACCAGTTCTTGTAGAACAGCAGGTGGCCCTGGCAGGACTTCTGGTAAGTCTCGTGGCTCTGGTGGCGGCCCTCGTAGCGCAGCTTGTAGTTGCCCTGGTAGCTCAGCAGGAGGCTCTCGCAGCTCTTCTTGCGGACCACGTAGTTCAGGTTGCGGACCTCGTAGTTGCGCCTGTGGCCCTCGAAGCTCAGCTGGTGGTTCAAGAAACTCTGCTCCAGGTCCTATCATTCCAACTTGCCGCTCTGGTAGCTCTGCGGGAGGCTCCACACTTTTTCACGTGGTCCCCGTAGCTCGCGATGTGGCCCTCGTAGCTCGGCAGTTCGCCCTCGCATCTGTGCTGGTGGTTCTCGTAGATCTGCACGTGGCCCTTGCAGTGCAGCTCGCCCTCGAAGCTCAGTCTTTGGTCCTGGAAAGTCCGCCGGTGGTCTTGTTAGCGCTGGTGGCTGCAAGAGTTCTGCTCGTTCCCAACGAAGCAGATCTGGTGCCTCCGGTATTTGGGCTGATGGGGACCGTAGCTGCACTTGCGGCTTTCGTAGCTCAGCTGGTGGCTGTCGCTGTACATCCAACTGGTGGCTCTCGTTGCCCTGCTTGAGGCCCGCGTAGCTGAGCTTGCAGCCCTGACGGCTCAGCTGGTGGTCCCCGTAGTCCTGGAGGTGGTTCTCGTAGCTGTGCCCGTGGTCCTTGTAGTTTAGCTCGTTGTACTCGAAAGACTGGCAACATTCCTGCTAAGTCTGCTGGTGAATGTCGTAATTCTGCTCGTGGCTCTCGTAACTAAGCTGGTGGGCCTCGTGGTTCCTGCCTTTGGCTTTCAAAGCTCTCGTTGCCTTCGTAGTTTGGCTGGTTGTCCTCGGAGTTTTGGAAGTTCTCGTAGGGCGGCTGGTCGTCGGAGCTGCGCTGGCCCCCGTTGCGGAGCTTGGATGCCCTTCTCGCGTTCGTGCTCCTGGCCTGGGAAGTCGAAGATCACGTACACTTGCACGACACATTCTGGACGTCGGAAACCACGAAGTCAGAACTGGAGCTCTCGGCTGCCAAGCCGTAGTTTTCCGCCTTCTGGGGGCTAGCCGTGGTGCTCCTGGCGCTGCCATCCTCCTCCGTTTCCTCCTCCTCCTCCTCCTCGGCTTGTCGTCCTGCGTGCGGTCGTCGTGGGCGCGCGGTTGCTCCGAGTAGCTCTGCTGGTCGCCCGCGAGGCTCTGCTGCGTGGCCCTCGTAGCTCTGCTGGTGGCCCCCGAAGCCCGGCCGGCAGCCCTCTTGGCTCCTCTGTTGCTAGACACAGCTGTGCTGGTGGGCCTCGCACGGTCGGACTTGATTGGGCAAGACGCGCGATAGGACACAGGACCCTTCCGAGGGCCACATCGCCGTAGGAGTGCAAGAAGGCACGCGTCGCGGGGCACAGGACACAAGGGTACCCTCGAGCTGGCAGGGTCGACCTACTAATCAGGGGAGACTGTGACGCTGCTGGTGGTTTTCGTAGCCCTGCATGTGGCTCCCGTAGCTCAGCTGGTGGCCCTCCAAGCCGTGGCGAAGCTCTGCCAGTGTGGTCCTGGTAGCTATGCTAGCGGCCGTCGTAGCTGCGCTAGTAGCTCTCGTACTTCCTCTGGTGGCCCTCGTCATTCTGCGTGTTGGCCTTCCTTCCGTTTGCGCACGTAAGTCCACGTCGTCGGCTGCCCGGTCGTAGCGTTTGGTTTTCAATTGCCCCCGTTGCAGCATGGTGCCCCTCGAAGCTCCGATGGTGGCTCTCGAAACTCAGCTGGCGCGGTAGGCGGCCGGGTGAGGAAGCCATATGCGGCGTAGTCGTCGTAGTCGTTGTACTCGCCGCAGCCGCTGAAGGTATCGTGGTCGTCATGTCGTCATCGTCGTAAGCGGAGTAGCCGTGGTTCACTGGTATCTGCACGACAATGTACTTGGTCACCCCCTCGGGCTGCTCGGCCTTGTCGTGCCTGGTGTCGTACTTGGTGTTGTAACTCTCGCGCATGCTGTCGTACTCGCCGTACTTCGGCACGTACGCATTCTGCTCCTCACCCTGCTGGCTGTTACCCAGCTCTTGTAGCTCGTACTTGTCGTGCTTCTGTGCGCCGCAGTGGCGCTCATGGCTGTGAAGCGCCGCGTGCACCAAATGTGCGATGTCCTTCCAGTCAGCCATCATGCCGCGCTTCATCCTGTAGTCGGCTACACGCAGGAGTGACCCTGGGTACGAGTGACCTTTGGTGCGCGGCTTTTTGGGGGCCGCGGGGGGACCAAACCTGGGCGCGCAAGCCGCTGCTACCGCTTCGTTTTCAGCCATCTGGGGACCCATCTGTGCCCGCACCAAAGGTCACTCCGGCGAAAGGTCACTCTTACGTCCAGTCGACGTAGCCAGTCCTACGCGCCGCGGCGCGCAGTGGCCTGGGTCTGGCAGGACCCGAACACACACTTCGTTCGCCCTCGAGGCCGCGTGCCGCGCGCCGCACCTCCTGCGGTCCATGGCCGGCGGCCGGTGGGCCAAGGCCAGCCCTCCTGGAGGCCCGCGCGCGGCTGGGCGCGGCGCCTGGGGGCCGAGTGCGGGAGCTGGACCCCGCATATGGCCATGGGCCAAAACGGCCCAGGGCCTTGGATCCCCTCCTTCCTGGGCGTCAAGGCCTCCTCCCTCCTCCTCCCTCTTCTCCCCTCTTTCCTCCGACAACCCTCCTCCCTCCTCCTCCCTCCTCCCTCCTCTCCCCTCTCTCCTCCGACAACCTCTCCCTCCTCCCTCCTCCTCCCTCCTCCTTCCTCTCCCTCCTCTCCCCTCTCCCCTTCTCCTCTCCCCTCTCCCCTCTCCCCTCCTCCCTCCTCAAGTCCCCTCTCTCCTCCGACTGCCTGATCTCTTCGGTCCTCCTCGGTCTCGGCCCTCGGGGGCCCGTCACTGGGCCGCGGGGCCGTCAGGCAACGCATCCGGCGTAAAGAAAAAAACGACCCCGGGGGACGGGCAGGGGGGGGGCCGCGGTACAGTGAATACGTATAGTAAGGACGCGTGGTAAGGACGCAAGACCCTTGGAGGCCGAAGTTGAAGTATTCAGGCCTGCGAAAATTGCTAGGGACGGAGGCTGAGGCAGGCAAGGACCCAAGGATACCCTTGAAAAAGTCGTTTGTCCTTACTATGCGCGTTGACTGTATGGAAAACAACACATCGGCGGATGAGGGGTCGGGGATCGAGGATCGAGGGTCGAGGGTCGAGGATCGAGGTTCGAGGATCGAGGGTCGAGGAGGGAGGGTCGAGGGTCGAGGAGGGGTCGAGGATCAAGGGTCGAGGGTCGCGGAGGGGTCGACGATGAAGGGGGGGTCGAGGGTCGAGGGGCCGGGGGAAGCCGAAGGGGCGAGGATCAGGGGATCGGGGGTCCCGGGAGGGGTCGAGGATCGAGGCTCCAGGATCGATTTCTTAGAATTGGACAAGGCCCAACCGTTTCTGCAGTCCTCTAGGCCTACCACAAAATTGTCTGAGAACCCCCAGATTTTGTAATAACGAAAACGATGTTCTCATAATATTAGCCCGATGTGCTCAGCAAAACAATCCCAGCCACAAATATTCTAAGAACGCTTCGTAGAAACCACAGAATGTTCTTAGAACATTGTTTGGTGGGCTAGATGGATCGGGTGTTGCCAATCGTGCCCCTGGCCCAAGGTGCCACCAGCTTTTCGCTCGATTTTGGAACCCCTGGGGCCTTTTGGACCTCGTGATTGGGTGTTTTGGAGGACGCGGGGCCCTCCTTGGAAATCCTAAGGGCGCCTTGGGCCAGGGGCACTTTTAACAACGCCCGAGAAGAAACTGCTTCTGTGAAGGCGATGGCCGTGCATCTACAGACGAGGCCCGCACTCAGAAGCAGGGGTGTTTCTATGAAGCCTTCTCCCCTGCCCCTGCCCCGTTGTGCGCGCGGCCAGCTGTGTGTTCCGCATGGGCCCCGTGCCACGTGCGTGGTGCTGCTCGAAGCGGATGTGATGGCTTACTACCATGCCGCAGAGGGTGTGCGCCCTCGCGCACGGGACGGCAACGGGGGGGCGACGGGCGGCAGCGTGGCGAAACTTAACCAAATCCCCCACGGTAGAAAACGAACCAACAGTTTCAAGTCAGACTTACTCGTTCCAAGTTTGACCCCGCACGTATGCGTGCCCATAGCCGTGCACGATCACACTCTGAACATGCATGCGTGCAGGTTCATAATGTTTTGTTTTCACCGTATTTTTCTTCATGATGGTAGTGATGGTGACGGCGATGACGGCGGTGACGGCGACGATAATGACAGTGATGACAATGCGCGAACGTGACGACGGTGGCAATGACGGTGATGATGACGGCGGAAACGATGTCGGTAATGGTAATGGTAATGGTAATGCGATGATTGTAGTGATGACGATGATGACGACAATGGCATCGATGGCGATGCTGAAGGTGACGACGGTGGCGATGATGATGATGATGATGATGATGATGATGATGATGGTGATGATGATGATGTAGGTGGCGATGATGGTAATGCTAGCAAAATGACAAAGGTCGCGAACATGGTGACGAATTTAAAGCGGATGCGTAACAATCGATTTCGCATGTGGTCTTGACTGATGGCCTCGCCACTGTGGCTCCTGGCCGATGGCCTCACCACTGTCGAACATTCAACTCACAGTGTGGCGGCGCCTTGTAGGCGATGATGATGGCGGTGATGGCGATGATGGTGACGGTGATGGCGATGAACGTTGTGGTGATGGTGACGGTGGCTATGATGGTGACGACGACGACTGCAACGGTGGCGACGACGAGGATGACGACAGTGGCAGTGATGGCGGTGACGACGGCAGCGATGATGGCGATGATGGAAGTGGCGGCGGTGGCGTTGATTGTGATGATGAGGGTTGCGAAGGTGGTGGTGATGGCAAACATGGCGACGGTGGCGATCATAATGGTGATTTTGAATCGGAGACGTCGGAATCGATTTCGGAGGGCGGGGGATTCTGGGGCGGCGGTCTGGGGCCCGTGCCGCGGCAGCATTTTGCACTCTCGCCTCGGCGCCGCGCGCGCGTTTTCAAACGTGGCCTTCTCGCCTCGGCGCCGAGCACATTTCTAGCAGCATCCTGGTAACGATTGGGGCCTCGTTGGGGCTGCGGAGGTCGGCGGGGCCTGCGCGCGGCGCCCGCCGTCTCCTGGGGCCCCGCATATATATATATATATGTATATATATATGTATATATATGTATATATATAGCCCGCCTCGAGGATTCCGAGCGCCAGAGCTGGACCAGAACAAAGACCTTCCGAGCCTCTTACAGGGCCTGAGGACTGATGGGGCTCTGCCACTTTTTTGTGCTGTATGTGTCGAGCGCGAGCCAGGCTAGGGCAGTAAAAGACTGCCACGAGATAATTTCCCGGCGAGCAGCTGGGCGACGGAGCAGACTGCACAGAGGTCCGACCAGAAGGAGACTTCCCCGAGAAGAGCAGCAAGATAGATATACGGGCGAGAAAAAGAGCCAAGGCGGCACGTGGGTGGGTGCACTTTGAGCCCGATGCCAGCGGGGCAGGCAACAGATGAGTGCGGCGCCCTCTCTCCACCAGGCTCCGCTTCACGTTTCAAAACAGGACAGCCCGCCTCGAAGATTCCGAGCGCCAGAGCTGGACCAGAACAAAGACCTTCCGAGCCTCTTACAGGGCCTGAGGACTGATGGGGCTCTGTCACTTTTTTGTACTGTATGTGTCGAGCGCGAGCCAGGCTAGGGCAGCAAAGGACTGCCACGAGATAATTTCCCGGCGAGCAGCTGGGCGACGGAGCAGACTGCACAAAGGTCCGACCAGAAGGAGACTTCCCGAACCCCAAAGGAAGATCTGGCCGCCACTGACAGAGTAGCAGAGGCGGCCGAAAAGTAAAAGGCACTTCGATGCTGAGGCGAGAAGTCTCGGAAACACGCTACTTGCTGACCAGACCAGCCATTGCTTGCTGTGGCGCCATGGGCACTGCGCGCTTGATTACATTAGCGAGAGCATTGGCAAGGGCTGCTGGATATGCAGCTGCGAGGGCTGTGTACTTACAACCGGCGGGGCTCTGGCCAGACAGAATTACGTGCTTGTTGGCCGTGCGCGAGCACAGCCCGCGTCTCCCTTGGCACACGCGGCATAAGGATTCTATAGGGCCAGCGTGCCAAGAGACGATCCTCGTGCGCTTTCGCCAAAGAGAACCATACTGGCACTGGTCAAGATCACAACTACGCGCACAAGGTAAGTGAACGAGCCGAGACAGCGAACGCGCATGCCACATCAAAGAGCCTGCTGGATTCTCCAGCATCACAGGAATCTCAAGACGAGTGCACAGTCTGATGATGCGGCACGTGAAAGCAAAAGATGCGTCGCCCTGCTGCAAGCGGGCTCTCTCGGAGGTGCTCAACTGATGGAGGCCCATGGGGCGGTCGCGAGATCTCAGGGGTCTCCTGAGGGCCCGCGACCAGCTGGTGCAGGGCGTCCCTAGAAAGACAGCGGCGACTGAGTGGCTACAAAGCCATCCAACGATGACCTCCTCAAAGGTGGCATCGAGGTGGTCCTCGAGAGGCCCCTGCCTGATGTCGAGCCCCAGACCCGAAAGGCCGAGTCGGCGCACGGCGGCGGTGAGGTGGCCCGAACCGCTGAACAGCTCCAACACAACGCGCCTGCGACAAAGCGAGCCCCGCTGCACTGCCTCCTTGAACCGACGCCTCAGGTGCTGTCGGACGGCATCGCCCGTAGCACTCGCTGCGCCGCAGCTGCGGGCCTCCTCCGAGCCCGTCGGCCGCGCGCTGGGGCGCCCAGCTGCATCGCCTCCGCAAGCCGGGAGGGCACCTGGGCGAGGCATCCGCTCTTGAGAAAGCCCATCTCCAGCAGCTCGCAAAATCGCCCCTCCACGAGGTGGCCGAGCGCGTACACGTCCTCCGCCACGCCCTGAAGCTCGCGTAGAAAGGCCGTCTCCTTCGCGTAGCGCCGCATCGACGACATGACGGCCCAGCGGCCCCTGCGGAACACCTGTTCCATCGATCGCCTCTGCGTCAAGAGGTCGTCGCTCACTCCGCCATGCCTCATCCCGTACAAGTGGGGGCGCAGGTGGTTGATGCCCAGGGCCGTTGCAGCAAGAGTGAACATCTGGTCCAGCTGGCCCAGACTGAAACCCCACAGAGGCGTCGCGGCAGGCCCCTT